CTGAGGATCCCCCTGCTGAAGTGTCTTACACACACCGCTCACAATCTGCGGCCAGGAGAAACACGACGGGAAGTGGTAGTGGAATGAGAGCGAGCGAATTGGGGGGAGGGGGAGTGGAGAGGGGGAGGATGTCCCCGGGATGTGGCCCAACGAGGGCGGGTCAGAGGCGGGTCAGAAAGTTCTTCGTTCTGTTGCTGCCAGCCCCTCCAAACCACACACAAATGAAGACGGAACGAAATACCTCGACACACGACGGCCCCGAGTCCCCTAATGCGGGGTGCGTGAAGGTGAAGTTCTTGATAACTGTGGTGGTTGTGATTCAGAGAGTTGTCGTACGGCAGCAGGACACCGAAGAAGGCACGGCTAGATTGTTGACTTTAATCCTCTCTTCCTACTGCCACTGCCTTGTGAACCCAATGCGCCTTACACGCAACATAAAGGACACCCATGAGTCAAATTTGATCAGCAACGAATATACACAAATCACGACAGCCTCTTCCACACATCATTACGAGACCCCCCTCCATACGTACATACAGGCACACGGAGACGTCTACTGTATACTCGGTATTATTGGTGTGCTTTTTAATCCTGAAGTGTTTAAGATAAGTTGAGCCGCCGAGAAGCGCAACGCCGCCATCAATCCACCCCACCCGAAGAAGGCAACACCACAAACCACAAAAAACAGCGGGGCATGAAATGCGACACAGAATACGCCTAAGAAACACGCCGAACAGCCCACTTCACCTCGCACCACCACGCCGTGACACGCCACGCCAGGCCACGACACACACACACACACATACATACATGCACACACACACACCACACCACACCGCACATCCTACGACAACTGAGCTACTTGCCATCACGTTACCATCTTCCACCAACCGACACCTCAACGACCTCAACTGTAACCCACTAACCGCTATGACCCACCCGGAGACAGAGCTCAGCTCCGTCGGCGTTGCTGGCAGTCAGGTTCAGTCCGGGGACCCGCAGAGTCCGGCGCTTGACCTTGTTGGCCGCATTGGGTGGTGTGTAGATGCCGACGGTGGCGGTAGGCACGCCATTGAGGGTGGCGGTGAAGCGCGCGTTGCGCACATCGCACACGGGATCTTGGGGGGGGGGGTAGTGCGGCAGGCGCCACGTGCAGGACGTGGGAAGGGAGGGTGGAAACGAAGAGCGGGGGGAAAGAGCGGGAGGAAAGAGCGGGTATCGTCAAATGTAAGCAACAGTGATTGAGGTCCAGGTCCCAGGGGGTTTCATCAGGGGGTTTCATTACAGACACTACCCTATGAAGGGGGAGGGGGGCAGGAAGTGCACAAGTAGAAGGACTTGATGAGTACCAGGAACTCGCTTCACTGCTCGCCCCCAGACGGGGGGATCAGGGGAGGGTTGAGGGAAGGAAAGGGGCCGCGCGAGTTGGACCACACGGAAGGGAGGAGCGATTGAAGCTCTCGAAGTCGACCAGGGAGAAAGACTGAAAAGAAGAAGGGAATTTACTTGTTGGCAATAAGCTGAGCGGTCAATTGTTCCTAGCCACCCGACCTGTTGCCTCGTCGGCGGGGGAAGTAAGCCCAAACGCTCAAGGGCAAAACCCCAGATGCCGCGCAGAGCCAAAAGGGTTCCTAAATAAAGAGGAAATGTCGCTGGCGATGTGTGGCAACATCCTATCGGCAGTTATACAGTTATGGCGTACAGTGCCGTACAGGGCCAGGCAAGGACCGCGGCGTGGCTCCATTCCGTGCCAAACTCATCACAGCTGAGATGGCGCAGTAAGGCTCGGGTTAGTGCCATGCCGTACAGGTCACCAAGGCCGGTCCTCTACACCAGCATGGTGCGGTACAGAGGACAGTGAGGTACTGTACGGCGCCTAGCAGATCAAAGCACTGCACGGTACGGTACGGCACGGCGAAATTTATCACGTGAACGCGCTCTGCACCATGGTGCAACACTCCACACCACGACGATGCGAGTGCAGTGCAAAACACACACAGCACGCCCTTTTCTCCCAACCGGACTCCCCAACCGGACTCCCCAATCGGGGACTGAGAACACCCTCAGTAGAACACCCGCTCGCAGCGCGCCGAGGTACAGGGTAAACGTCTGAGGACCATCTCCTTCCCCTAGATCAGCAGCATCCTCACATGGTCAAGAGACAGAGACCTCGTCAACACCGCCTCAACATCAACCATATGGCGCCAAACAAGAACAAAATTTCAACCCCTGATTAAATAACCCCCGTCTGACGCCACCTTCCATAGGAAAAACAGAAAACAGGTAGGTGGGTGTCCACATATAAATACTGAAGAAACGGTAACAACAACCAGGATAGCACTGCTGGGCTGATTGAAAACGCCATTAGAGTGCAGCTTGAAAGAGTGAAGAAGCCTACGACGCACCGAGTGTATCGAAGAGGGGAAGGAGGAAGACGAGGAGGAGGAGGAGGAGGGCGACGAAAAACACAGAGTTGTGGAAAACACAGGATCATCTGCTAACCAGGCGCCGCCTACAAAATCACCATCACTACTGAGAGAGGCCTCCCCCTCCGGCGGGGGCGGGGGCGGGGGCGGGGGCGGGGAAATCAAAACACATCGCCTGATAGCAACGTTGAATGCCGAGGTGGTCCCCGGAGGCTTCCTCGTACAGGGTTGTACGGTTTCCGTACGGTACGAAGAATGAAATAAGAATATTAATTATGCTGTCACCCGAACCCGACACCTCCTGGATACCACAACACATCAACAACAACATTGCGTGATATGCATGATATGCATGATGACATGGCCGAGCGATAAACCCGCGCCAGGAGGCGCAGGCCGTAAGTGAAAACCGCAGACAAACCCCGCGCACTCGTGCGAAAAAAACAAACAATCCCAAACAACCCTAAAACCCTCAACATTACCATATGGCCAAGTTCGCTAGCGTCAGATACGACATTGTTATCTTTCTCCCTGTCAACAACCAGTCACAATAATCACAAGACCTCCATACAATAGAAACTATACATTAACAATAGCCGTTTCTCGGTGCTGCACGATCACGCCATTCACATTTGCGTGGGAGATAAACCTTCCAAAAAGAAGCAAACACCCACATACCGGGATCCGGGGGGACCGGAACGCATATTGGCTGAACTGCAAGCTGCAGTATCCCTGACATGACGTAATCGCAAGTACGTCGCAAGAATCGTACGATACGCATTATCAAATCGAAACCACCACGGGGGGTTTTCACTGGTTCGGTGTTAAAAATGCCGAACGAGTTTGCGCGGGTGGGCTTCGGAAACCTGTCAGGTCCGTTGTTAGAACGACAGACACCTGGTACGGGGCCCAGGCTGCCGACGTGTGTGTGTGTGTGTGTGTAGTACATTTCCGCCGCTTTCTTCCTCGAAAAAGCTAGCTGCCTTTCGTCATTGTTTAGGAGGCTTCCGGGCTCGTGGAGCCTCTTACTCCTCCTCCTGGCATTCTTTCTCTATGATTGGTGTACACAGTCCCGTTGGGTCGCGCTGAAAAGGTACTCTGACGCACAGTCGTACGCCCTTTCAGCGTGCTGATGATTGTTGTGTGGATCTGGATCTGGATCTCTCTGTGCTGCGACACAGATTGTGATCCCTTCGAACAACACTTGTACGGCAAGACGTCTTATCTAATGGACAACGAATCAGCAGCATGGAAGGGAAAGCCTTAAGCAGGGTCTTTTTAGGAAAGCCCTGTGAGGGGCCCTAGCAGGGGCAGTTGGGAGGTGGTGGGCAAGGAGTTAATGGCAATGTAAATAATAATTTCGGTTAACCGTCTGGCCTCATCACTGGTGGCATCATCGTCCCACGACAGTGATGATGGCAAACACACGCAGACACAGATCTACTCTGGGTGGGTAGGATCACGGAGGTGGTGGAGGTAGAGGGGGAGGTCAAAGTCAGGTCACACACTCAAGGCTTCACATGATGCCAGGAGTGGAAAAAGATCGGCGGTGGTTGTGCCTGCGTGGCTGGTGCTTTGTCTGGAAGTTGCGCAAGTGCTGGAAGCTATAGGACCGCCGCCGCGCTCAGTGGCAATTCTGAATCTAACCCCGATCGAGGCCAAGTAGATGCAGATTTAGATCATCTGCCTTTCCTATCCATGTTCCTCTGAGATGTCCTCCGCTGCGGGGGCAGGAAAGATGTCCCATCCAGAACGCGCTAAGAAAAGAGCGCCAGGTAGCCACCAGTAATCAAAGCGTTATTTAACATCTGTTTAGAGACTCGTATGATTATTATGTGAAGATGGACTATTCTTGAACGTACCAACGTCAAACTCGAACTTGGCGATGCTTGTGTTGCAACATGGACTCCTGACCGTGCACTGAGCCTCATCTGCCTTAATCCTCCAACAGTAGACATTAGGAGAAGGACGGGTAGTTACGGGCAGTGTTGAGTACACGCTTGACGACAAAGAACGCTGGCAAGTCGCGTAAGGGAAGCCAGCCAAGGAAGACGTTGCGTGGATCAGTGGTTGGCCATGAGATACCGCCCTGCAAATCAAGGATCACCAATCAGTATACTAAGAAAGAAATAATCGCACCTCCAGTGCGTTGCGAAAGCATGCATAGCTTCCCACCGTCCACGGCCGTCGAAATGCAATCACAGAGCTCCTGAGCTCAACTTACCCGAGTGCCAGCAGGGCTGCGCCAAGCAGCAGCACCCGCATTGGATGGTTGTTATGGCCCAGTAGAAAGATGGGGCCTCGGGCCGAGGCTCGCTACTCGTGTCAGTCTGGTCCCCGAACTCGAAGCCCAGCAATATGAATCGCCGCCAGAAACTAAAGAATCTTTATGTCATACCAGTAGAGGTACTTTACAGCATTGAGGCCTGCACGAGAACGCAGCCCGCTCGGTTGAGACTACACGACAAGTGTTCACGCACAGCCCAAATAATGCCCGACAACCAAGCAGGCGCTGCTATTCAATGCAGATCCTTACAATGAAACCAAAGCCCGCGGATTACTACCTGTTCCGCGTGGGAATGCGAGGACAGACCTGGGCCGTACACAATCCTTGGATGCCCGGCCACGTTCTCACGCCAGAACAAAACTTTTCGCCTTTATCTGCATTATGAACCGTTTAATTTGGGTGAGACACGGGCCCCAGCATGCAATGCCAGCCATAGCGGGTACCGTGATACCCATGCCAGACTTACTTTAGATCAGGTAAATCTATATGTTTAATAGGTTACAATACAAATATGTATTTATATTACAAAATGAGCTTGACAGCATACCGCCCGCCAAGACCGTACGGTTGGTACAAAAAATTCATTCATGACAGGATGTAATGAGACTGATAATTTATTGCAAGTTTTTCAGCTTTGTCTACTTGCCTGCAAGACATTCCCTACCTCCCGAAGCGGCTTAGCAGTGTGAGAAGAGTACAGGTACGCGATATCCCCAAGCGACCAGGCAAGAGAAGCACATACATGTCATATGGCTACTCTGGACATATCTAAAGCAAAGCTCAGAAGATGATTAGTGCAATTTCCGAAGATGCTGAATGGGAACGGGCGTCAGCGGGTCAGGTACTTATCCGCGCTAGGGAAACCATGTTGTGCTGAAAAGATACAAAATTCTTATAGCTGGCAACCTGTCCAGAACGGGGTAAGCTAACTTTGCACTTTTTGGTTGCGGCGAAAACGAAGATATACGCACGCGTGATGCACAAAAGTACCCCCATGTAAGATAGAAGAGAATATTTTGCCTTACTGACTTTTGCCCTGCTCTACATATAAGCACGCGACAGTGGCCTTTCTTAGTCGGGTGCAAAAGCTATCTATATGTGGGAAATTCGCTTTCTGTGCGCTAGACCTTCTTCACATGCAGCAACATGTAAATGCATAGTTTCATGAAAAAGACGGAAGCTTAAGAAGCTACGATGGGTGGACGCAATTGTGTTCCGGTACAGCGACCCACGGACCGCCGACGACTACGGAGCATTGAGTTTGTGAACGCAATATGCCACGTGTGAATCCAGTTGATCTGTTACATGAAGTTGCAGCCCTAGCCCTGGACAGCTGAATATCTCTTGTGCCGCAGTAGAGAGGCAACGTGGCAGCAACGAAAGCGCGGGCAGACAGCAAAATAGCAAGCTACATTATACTTCATAAAACTAAAAGAATTAAGGGATGACGATCATACATCCTTTGGTCTCGTGTGCTCCGTATCGCCACCTACCGTACCATTCGAAGTTCCCAGGGCCCCAAGTACAATAAGAACGGGGTCACCCATTCTAACCCGTAACAAGGTAGGAAAACAAAAAGCGATAAACAACTAAGATACTGATTATATAATCTGTGAAATGCCCTTGCTTCGTCAAGCGACATTTTGGGTCGCTGCTGTCGTCCCCGACGAAATGACAGCTCAGCAAATAACATGATATCTATCGCAATTTGATATTGATACAAGTTAAGCTGTATATGAGTAAGATTGTTCAGGTTCAGCAGCATCGCTTCGTAAGAATTTAGGTTTTCCATTCTTGGGCGTGACATCGTGACAGTTTTGGCATTCACTGCTACGAAACGCTTTTCAAAGATTCTAGCATACTGTACATGTCTCACATCCATGGTGGAGGGTGCTTATGCGTCGCCGCTTGCAAGCGAAGCCGAGTCCGCGTGCGAGCGTGCCGACATCAACCGCAAGCGATGGCTATTGTACTAGTGCCTGGCTCTTGCTTGCTGAGATCATGAGGCACTGCCTTCTTAATGTTGACTGTTCACATTATCACCCAATAGAAGAAGACTTAAGAGGTTTAGGTCCCGAGTTCCACGCTGTCAGTACATAGCGTATAATCTTTAGCTAAAAATGATGATTCTACCTTAACCCCTCTGGCGTCCGCTCATCTCTACTCGACATGATATCAGGTCTCCTCCATGACCTTCCGGGTTCCCGGGCGGCCATCACAGGATTCACCGCACGTAGCCCTAGCTCCCATTTAAACGCTACGCCTTCTAATCTAAGCTTAAGGCAATGGAAGGCTTCCACAGCATCCATATCAAATGGACATATATCATAAAACAACGTCCCTGGTGCGATTGTATCTATGCACCCCAACTCCACATTTTTAACACGTGGTTTGTGCGTCAGAGGCAGTGCTGTTTCACCATTACTGCGACCTTATAAGCGATTTATATTATTGACGTTGCCTAACTTCCAGTTTGCAATGTGCTCACATAGCGTAATTAAGAAGAGGGCTGAACTATGTTGCATGCTCTAAACATGCCTACCTATCAATTCTCCATATACCCGCGTTAAGATAAAACAGTTCAGCTATTTATGGAAACAACTGATCTCATCCAGCGCTAATGCCCGATGCTTAATCCCTCCCAAAGCTAGCCTCTGTGCTTCTACTCTCTTCCATGCCACGCCTTCCACCCAAAGCTTTCGGCACTCACCTTCTGCAATAAGCATAGCTCCAACACCGATAAGGACTGCGTAACCAGAAGCACGCCGAGATTGGGCGATTTAGTATTTGGCGCTCTTGCCTGCCGATCATCCCCTCGGCGCGAAGCTCCAACTGATCCCGTGTTAATGGGGGAGTGGGCGGGGGGGATCATCCACGCCGGCAGCGCGCTGCGTGGATAACATTTATTCGCGTCAGGTTAGCTCTGCGCACCTGTGCACAACATGCATTTGCAGTGACTTACATGTAAGTGGCTTCTGCAGCCGCCATGAATAGGAATGTATGAATGCGTTCCGCCACTAGAGCCGACACTGAACCTGATCCTTAACGTTCTATGGATAGGCTTGCGGAACTTTGTAAAATAATAGAATAGTCTCAAACCAAGAAGAAAATGGAGCGAAGAAAACGAGCTTTATCATAAGCATTGCTTTTGGTACTGGATCGATTCGCTAGCTTCGCGCAGGTTCCGTTCGAATGGGCGGGATCGCTTTCGATTGTGCGGGGTCACCTTACCCTTCGAAGACTTGCATTTATGTATCAGGGCAATTATGATATGCGACATATACATTTATTCCTACCTGAAGAGGTGGAGGTAATGATAAGGCCTTATGGGCCCGATGCCTTCGCGGCAAAAGATCCAAAAACAATATACACAATATGCACTAAACTCTCAGAATGCGATACAGCTCAAAGAACATAAATAATTACTACCCAAAAAGGACATAAATGTGTTCCTGCGGCAGAAGTCACGGTTGCCCGTTGCTGGTTGGCGGTTTAAGAAACAAGACTGCTGGTACGGTTCTTACATGCAACGATATTAAATTACCGCAACAATGAACCTTCTGTCCTAACAGAAAATATGCATAATTGCCCGACGTAGGGCCCTGCAAGGTGCTCGATCTTGTTTGGCCAAAATCGGCACAAGGCCCAAACCATAATTGCGGCACAAGGAATGGCCTAAGTAAAGGATGAGCCAGACGCTAGCGTACAATGCGAGCGCAAGTATATTTCCTGGATTTTAGAGCTAGGGGCGAGGTTCATAGTGCTGACGACGCTGATAAAGAGGAAGTCCAACAACTAGAAGTTCGAAAGCCTAAGGAGGAGGAATCTGCTGCTGTCCATAATAATGAAAGCAGAAGATCAGACACTGGCAGGAAAAGAAGATGACAGGAAGCAGTACGGCAGGTTTTCGTGTAAAGCGTATTCCCAAGCGCCGCGCGCACTTGCTCGTACTGGCAACACCACGCAAGACCGCGCGCCCGCACGAATCACCGCAGCCAAAGCTCCCGTCTATCACACACCTTGTACACAAAGCCAATTCCAAGTGCCTCCGCAAACCTCATCTCCGGAAACCTCATCT